CCCCAAATTAATCAATATGGAATCAAATTGTGTCAATATTTTTTTTTTACTTGAAGCAAATGTCTTGAAGTAAAATATTTTCTTGTCAGAATGCACTAGAATACTTCATTTAAATGTTAAAATCATAAAAAATTGTCTCATGGGGAATGATGCCCCATACCCCCCTACAACAAATTACTTCATAAACATGTCACCTTTTTCCCCACTTGTGAGTTTGCAGGTCTGTTTAATAGTTCAAAGAGGACAATAAATGTTCAAATTTCGATTTTTTTTTAAAGAATTGTTGAAAGGTGTTTTTTTTAATAAATGCAACCAGTTTCCAAAGTCATGTGAAATAATCATGATTTCAATACTGACCAGAAAAAAACACGCTTTTTTAAAACTAAATTCTATTTACGAACTCATCACACACGGTAATGGTCAATAACTGTAATTTGTTGAAAGCATTTTTTTCTGAAAAAGTTAACACCTTGCACATGAAGATAGCACATTGTTTTATAATTTTAGAGTCAAAAAATCTAAATTTGTGAAAAATATTTAGCTTCAGGTTCTAAAGGGTTAACTATATAATTAAATAAATAATTCCAACAATACCCGATATCTGTACATCCTTATGTTTTTTTTTCATAATCTAGACACCTTTCTACTGACCATGCTCCTGGGGACAGAAGTGTAACCCAGCTGAGGGTGCAGAAAGACAAAGTACAATACATGGAGAATCAGGTATATAACCCCAGTGCTCAAAAACATGATCACCATACTGAAAACGTCTTGTTCTACATTTAACCAGCTTGCGTGGGAAACACAGAACCCATTTATTATGTATCACAGGGGCTAATGGTACATAAATACAGAGTAAAGAACATGGTGGTCAGGAGGTTATAAGAGGAACTGGATGATAAATGGATGCTTGCTTGTGACACTGTGTTATATTTACTTAATGTTACTGTTAGTTGACAGCAGAGAGACAGAAACTGCAGGCCATGCAGCTACACCTGTTTGATGTCAAATCTACCTCTGAGGTAAGCACTCTTATGATAAATTATATTTAAAATATATCATATAGCTGTTTGCATTGCAATATATATATATATATATATATATATATACACACACACACACACACATAATAATAAAATTATTAGCCAAGCCGGATGACTAAAAAATAGCTACTCCTTTGCTTGTTGAGAATAATTAATTTAGCAGCCATGTTCTGGTAATTACATACACTTGATAAATGATTATCAGGGAGTGGTTCATTCACTATAAAGAAAAAATAATCTGCTCACAAAGCTCAGAAATTTGATACTGCTCGTTCTGTCTGGGTATAAAGTTACAGATTGGTAATACATTTTAAGATGTGTTGTGTCATTTACTATTGTAAGGATGTATTGCTCTGAGAAAAGCTTAATCAGTTGATCTACGGAGACCCATGTTAAAGATCAAACTAATATAATGCCATAGAAAGGAAGCCAGGCGAAAATGGTACGGTCTGGAAAGTATGGACCAAATTTTGTAGCCAGTCTAGCCACTAACTTTTTCTACCTGATACGAGTCTACTAAGGGATCTCTTGGTTTGTAACTGGTTTTATGGATTTTTTTTCACACCAGTGTATTCTTGAGACAAATGCATGGCCATCTGTCTGCCAGCTAAATCTGAAATCTGAAATTGGGTCACAGCAGACAACAATGATCCTCAGGCAATCTACAGTCGTGGTCCTGGAGTATCCCCTACACTGCACATTTTGTATGTCTGTCTTATCAGCCATTTGAGGTCTTGAAGTCTTTATGAGTTGAATAAGGACATCGTTATGTGCAGTGCTGGGGGCATTCCAAAACTACAAAAGCTACAAAACTGAAAAAGAGAGCATTAGAAAAGCCATGCCAAAACCATGTGTGAGCGGCACGTAAACTTATGCCATTAATCGAATTGTGCCATAATGACAGCAGGGTCTGTTTATGTTCTGTTTGTCATTTGAGTTTTCTTTTTTTTAAACCTACTTTTAGGGCCTGATGAAGGCCAGATGTTTTATGCCCAAAATTATGGATTGATGTAGTTTTATCCTTCTGATCTCAGAGTAATGGTAATGGTGTGGAGAAGCGGGGACATCTGTCAGGACTCCTGCAACCTGCAGCATGTCAGAACACAAATGGTCTCTATGACAGTGAGAGAGTGGCAGCTGATGCGTTAACACAAGGATACTGGCAGATCTCTACCTCACAAGTTATACCAGGTCATTCAGCAGCCAAACACACTGTTGTTCTATACATATTCTCAAACACTGATTCAGAAACTGAACATGTGTATATTCAACATTATCCATACACAACATAACACCATTATGATGTTTTTTCTTTTTATGTCCACAGGGATTATTCCCAGTTTTGAGTATTATAAGTTAACAAACATGAGGCCACCATTCACCTACGCCTCCATGATACGATGGGTAAGCACTGCTGAATTAAAATTCCTGTAGGCCTACAGTATATTACATGTCATTTCCTGTCAGTCACATTTAAGATGTCTTGTATGCCAGGCAATCCTGGAGTCCCCAGAGAAGCAGCTTACTCTAAATGAAATCTATCACTGGTTTACCCGCATGTTCTTCTACTTCCGTCACAACACCGCCACATGGAAGGTATGAGATGCGGTATTTGTACAGCTCACTTATTATATTTGTCATTCCATGACTCACTGCCCACAATCAAGCCAATCCTGAAAGCCACATCCTCTCGTTTACATACCATAAAACTTTCACTACTTGCACCTCAATGACAAAGTGATGACATGGCTGTGAAATCACAGAATAAGTAATTCTTTTACTACTTTGTGTGTGTAGAATGCTGTTCGGCATAACCTCAGTCTTCATAAGTGCTTTGTGCGCGTTGAAGGAAGGAAAGGTTCTGTTTGGACTGTAGATGAAGAGGAATTTCTCAGGAGAAAAGGACAAAAGTTACACAGGTAAACTTTACTTGCTGCGTTTTAAGGATGATGGTTTAATTTTATGTAAATTCTTACAGGTTTTTTTTACTGTTTGTGGATTGCTGCAGTGTTTACCCGTCCATTAACTAGACTGTGGCGGCCCACCACACTTTCATTATGAACCAAAAATATATTTAAACTTCTCATAAGGTCTGTTGTTGTGCACCTTTGCTTATGCAAAGTATATGTCAAACGATCTAAAATCAAAAGCACAATATGGATAAATCCAATTCCAATATGGATTAAATTACAAAAGGCTGTGACTTAAGTCTGTTGCACTGCCTGTTTTCAAGCGAAGCTCACACTTTGTTCACGTGGTCAGCACATGATCAAGTGATGCTCACTGCAGAGCCAAAGGAGTTGACCTTGACTGAGTTTAGCTCAACCTCTGTGGATCTAATGGGCGGAGGGATAAAGTTAGGGTGTGGTTAGACCTTCTAGCTCCACCCATTACACACAAATTGCATTCAGAGAGGGGGAGCTGGAGTTCATACTCCACTCATTGCGCTCCAGTGAGCAGCCTCTGGTATTCTGCGTCTCAGAATGGCTCGGTTCACAGTGAATGACTGCATTATGCATGTGAGTGTTTAGCATGCATTTGGCACTACAACGGGCACCAGTTGTGCTTTTAACATTTGCTTAACTTCCAACATTTTTATGGGCAGATGATTTGCATTTCACTAGATTTGTAATGAGATACATTTGTAAACCTGTTTTCAAAGAAACTGGCTGCAGTTTTCCACCAAAATGAAAGCCCGGGTGCTGTTTTCCACAAAAGTAAAAGCCCAGCTGCAGTTTTCCACCAAAATAAAAGCCCAACTGTAGTTTTCCATCGAAATGGGACTTTAGGAAATCAGGACAAAAGTATTTAATACCCTACTGTAAAGGGTAAAATAATATGATTGTGAATTAATCATTTATTTATTTTAGAGTGCATTTGTTTTACAATATATGGCTATTACTGTCATCGGTATACTGATATATAATTATCTTTTATATTCTAATTGCTTGGCTTCCTACAAAAATGTGAATGTAATGTAGACTGAGTCACTATATCACAACTAAAAGAAGGTTGAGGCACAAGTCATTTAATTGACTTTTTCTTTGTTCAGTTTGCACACTGAACATGGGTTGGAGCATTTCATTTTGAACTTGCAGTGCACCAGTTAGATGAGTTCAACTTTAAAATTGTACACAATTTGAATGCACCCAGACCACCCAAGGTCCTCCCCCCAGTCTCAAAAAATCATGTGGAGAAACACAGAGTTGGTTGTATGTATAAATATGGGTATAAAAATAGATGGCTGAGTAGTAAAGATTAAAAAAACGTACCCTGGGCTCTTTGGATGGCTCTAATAAAGTGGCTTTATTGTTGGAGCTGGGAGACACCTCAGCCTCATGGACTAATAAAGGCATGCCGTTTAGTTCTGAATCATAAGAGATTGATTGTAATTACAGCACTTTTTCCTCTAGGGACCAGGATATGGCCTGGATGGCACCTTTTCACCTGTTTCCCCTGACTCCACAAGGTGAAACTTACCAGATGTCAGGCCCAAATGGACACTGATTAAGAGATTGCAACCACATTCAATCACTAACAAGTTTTACAACTTTAGAAAGAATAGTCAATGTGATATAAATTAAAGACATTGTGGTTTTAAATGTATAGCTGTCAGTCTATTTCAGACTCTTTTTTCCCCCATTTTTTTGTGTAATAAATCAAAATAAATGTAACAGCCAAAGATAGTTAAGAAATGTAAGTTCAGCTAATTTTCTCAAATTTAGGCCTAAATGTAATAAAAATTCACAAGTATATAACTCTTATGCCAACATTTGTACACCATTAATGGTAGTAATGACATCGTTAAGTGTGTAAATACATTTAATATGGTACTTATTGTTCATAGAAACAGTTAAACGACTACTGTACAATTATAATTTTCTTTGAAAATAAAATATTTGATCCAAACTGAAATCCAGCACTTTTTTTAAAGATTTTTTTTCCCCAGAGCTGTACACACACTATACATAATCAAGTTTTGTTTCTCATAAACTAAATTATAATTAAAACAGTTTCAGTCAGAAATATTTTATAATGCGTAATTGCAACGCGATAGTGATGTTCTCAATGAAATGGCTCGTCACCAACTGCAATACTACGACTATGATTGGTCGAGAGATTTTTGCGCGGTGCATTTCAGCCAATCAGAGCATTGTTTTCTTGCTCGTATGTAAAGCCTCAGATAAATGGCGAACGGAAGGACAAACTGTAAACAAATACTACAGAACTGGACATTTTAGACGAATTGTGACTTTTAAGAGAGAAATAGCTTAAAGTTGGGAATACTGTGTCAAAATCAAACGGAAATAATTGATATGCGGTAGTCAGCGAGAATATGAACTAGCCTCATTCAGCGTTAGGAAGCTATCTAGGCCTGCTGACATTTGCGCAGAATTGGATCTTGGAAGTGCTGTAATGCGAACGAGGTATAGAGACCCGCACAGTTAACAATTATCATTTAGAATCTGTTTTAAAAACCATCATATACGTCGGATAAATTTAGAACTATTCAGTATCATGAGTACAAAGTCGGACAGCAGTCAGCCGTCCGAAATTAACCAGATGAAAAGAAGCGCAAGTCCGAGTGGAGAGTGTGAGACCACGCTGCTCAAGCAGGCGAAAGTAAGTGACGAGGAACCAAGAAATGGGTCTCATGAAGATGCAGAACCCGAGAAAGTTGGGAATGGTGAGCCAAAACCCGGAGCTGAGCTCCCTGAAGGAACTGAAGAGAAGGAGGTGGTAATTCAGCATGAAGCAGCCGCACAGGAGAGCACGAGACAGGCTGCTGGAGGTGAGAGCGCGCGCCAGCCGTCAGATTCCGCTGCCATCGCCGCAGCAGAGGCGCTCGCGAGTCTGACCGGCGGAGATGGGGACGAAGACTGTAAAGAAATGCCCTGTTCGTCCAAAAAACCGAGCCGAGAGAAATTAAGAGAAAGGTCCATTCGTCCAGGTTGCTCTCAGAGCGAGAGAAGGACGGAGGCAGCCGCGGCGGACAGCTCTTCATCCCTGCTGATCCGCGAGAACAGAGGACATCCAGAGCAGGCATCGTTTGTGGATGATGATGATGATGATGGTGAGGAGGAGGAGGACGAAGAAGACTCCCTCCCTGGCTCTTCCTCCACGGCTAGTTCGTCTGTCGCCTCTGAGAACGAGGATAACGAGGACGGCGAGTGTGCCATAGTGTCGGTGAAGATGGCCCCGGAGGTGCGGCAGTCCGTCGCACTGCTCGCGCAGGTACAGATGCGCCTGGATGCGCTGGAGAAGAAAGGCGCTCGTCTTCATCAACGTCTGGAGATGAAAGTGAGCCGCCAGCGACGCCCTCACCTGGACCAGCGCAGCGCCATCACACAAGCGATCCCAGGCTTTTGGGTTACTGCTGTATCCTTTAACACTGTGCGAGTTATTCAATGACTTTCAGAAGTGACTGAGGTCGTCTTTAGTGGGCCCTATCGCTCTCTATATTTGTGTTTATCATTAATGGTCGGTCTGTTAAGTAGTAACAGTACTTATGTTTGCCCATATGCGATCTGATACAGACATAGATGTTGCAATGGTTACATCATCGCACAGTGTCGATTTTGTCAATATATGTACAAGCTTATTTTGACTGCAGTCTGTCTAAAATGTTTTTTTTTTTTAAATCTCTCAAAAACAAGTGACTGAAAGAATCAAGGAATTGAATTGGTCAAAAGATTCACTAGTGGATGTTAGTAGATGTCCACTTTACCATGTCTGATGAATTTCCATCAAAGATCACATTTGGTACTTGTATAAAAATGTTTATGTGTAGACTCTAAATGCCTTGCGTGTCGTTTTTCCATTTGCATCAAAATGTTTGAACCAAGTGATGCTGGTTTCTAGATGTTTGTTTTCTTCATTTACATATTTGTGCACTTAACTTGGAACCAATCAGCTTCTGAATCACCCACATCTATCAGCGCAAATCGACGAGTCTGATGAGGACGCCCTTAGTTACATGACTAATTTAGAGGTAAAGCATTTCCCCGCCTTTTTTCCCTTTGGCTTGAACCTGTTTTTAAAATGACAATTAATATATATATTTTTAATATGCTTTTATGAAACAGATTGAATCTTTCAAGAACAACAAACTTGGATACCGCATCTGCTTTCATTTCCGGCGAAATCCGTTCTTTCAAAACAAAATGATAGTGAAAGAACTTCATCTTGGAATGGGAGGTTAGCTGACCACTATCACAGCTCCTCTCTTTTAATGAGTGTTTTATGTATGTATACATGTATAAGGTAATCATGCATAATCGTCTGTATGTGCTTATTTTATGCTCAGGGTCTCCGGTGTCCTTCTCAAACCCAATTTTGTGGCACAGAGGGCAGAATCTGGTCGGGAGTGGAGAACCTCGTCGAACATCACAGGGAGTCTACCAGAGCTTCTTCCATTGGTTCAGTGATCACAGCAACCCAGGAAGGGATGACATAGCACAGGTACATCTCTCATGAGGTTAGGTGTAGGAAATGAAAATACATGAACAAAAAAGCACTATAACCCAGCAAAACCGTAAACCCTTATACATGCACACAGTAAGGATGATGTTTTATAAAAGATCCTGATTGGTTCTAGATTCTGAAGGAAGATCTGTACAGAAACCCTTTGAGGTATTACCTGACTCCACTGTGGGAGCCACGAGAGAATGGCAGGTAATAGCCAGAATAAAACATTTTATTTCCTCCTCCAGATTCTCCCAAATGTCTTTTTAGGTTTTCCTAAATTTTAATGATCTTTAACCAATTTCCAACTGCCAGCAGCGCTCCCAAACCTAAGGGCAGCAATAACGGAGACGAATGCGTGATCATCTCAGATTCAGACGAAGATGAAGAGCAGAGTAGCCAAAACATGGAGCAGGAGGATGATGAACGGGATGACCAAGTTGGAGGTGAGGTTTTCCTTTTCACAATCATGTAATATAAAGCGTTTCATGATAAGCAATAAAAAAGTGGATCCCTAAACAATCATGATTGATCATATTTTTCTCCCAGGCTCAGAAGAGAATGACAGAGATGAGGGGGAATCTTTCTCTGAGGAGAGAAATGAAGAGGAAGTGGATGTTGAGGAAGTAGAAGAGTCACGTGACTCCGGTGGCTGTGAGGTCGGAGAGCAAGGAAAGGAAGAAGATATCGATGTCGATGAAGAGAAGAGTTAGGGTGTGGTGTTGTCTCCGTTTCTTTTTATGCAGAATAGCATCATTAGATTTTTCTATGATCTATTTTACTGATTGTCTTCTGGATAAATTAACAAGTGTTAATGTTGCTTGATGATCATGGTTTAACCATATCTTCATTGTAGATGGTACTTTCTATACTTCAGAGATGATGAATATTCAGATTCAGTGTGTGCACTCCTCCAAAAAAACACTTAGTTTCTTTACCATTTTACACATAACTTTGCATTCACAGAGAGGGCTACTGATACCCATAAGACACCTCTTTTATCTCAGAACTGACTGTTGAAAGTTTAGGATTACCGACTTCACTTAATTTAGTTGTTTTTGGCTAGTTTAGAGTCCTGGTTGTTGTTTTCTTTTGTTATATGGAATACAGTAACATCGTCTGTCACCAACAAGTACATTTCCACTGCAGGAGGCTATATAATCAAGACCAGTTATAAAAGCATTTTGTCAGTCATTGCTGTAATATTTTTGGTTAATTGTTGTTTGTTACTACTTAAAATCCACATTTTCAGAATTCTAGCATCATGAACGGCATTGTTATAGTCTTGTCTTATCTTTTTATTGTTCCATCACCATTTTTAGCAAGGGAAAAGGTCAAACATTCTCTAATGCACTTCATTCTGAACCAAAACTAGATAACTCAGGGATGTTTACTCTTTTTACCCTCCTTATAGATGCGTTTCCCTTCTTACAGTAAGTTGTGTGTCTTTAATACATACCTTTATGAATTGTTTGTTTATTGATGAACATTTAAATAATTGTAGGTTTATTTCACCTTGTTTACATAAGCAGCTAAAATCCTGACACAGTTCCTCTTGTTATGAGGTTCAGTGTCATGTGATCCTTCAAACAACTTGTCATGTCTGAATTGAGTTGGATATCTACACTATCAACACACGTTGCCATTTATTGGCTGCATTGAATAACAATTTTAATGTTATTTAAATGAGCAGAATTTTTGGAAAGGTTTTCATCTCGTTGTGTTATTTCTTTTGACCCGCATGATGTATGCACTCAATAATCAGACTTATTTGTGTCCAGTTAAATGCTAAGATAATGTAAAGATAGTGAATATGTATGTATGCATTTGTTCCTTTTGACTTTTCGTATTCATCTTTTTTGTCTATTAGTACTTCTACTCCTTTGCAATAATATATTTTTCCTTAACTTTGGTCAGTCAGTTATTAGAGTAAAATCTTTGTCATAGGAATCTGTAATAAGGAAGCTGTGTTAAACGCATTTAGTTTACATTGATTTTGAGTGTTGACCTGTAAAAGTTTGGTTTAAAAAGTTGAAAAGCTATTAACTCATTGTAAGTATACTGGATTGTACTTGTTTTTCCTGCAAAGCCAGTGGTATGTACATAATCCTTTCCCTTACGAAGGGTTTATAATATGTTATTGAATTATTAGGGTAGATTTGACCTACAATATCAAAGAAAAGCTATATTTTGTGTGCTAAATTTTATAGAGAACTACAATTTTTAAATGTTTTGGGTTTGTTTGTTTTTTTGTTTTCCATGTCAAATAAAGTTTTGTCTTTTCATTCACAATGTGGCATTCTGTCTCTTTAGTTTCTGCAGAAAATGTATTAAAACTACTACAGCTTTCTGTCCTGATGACGCATATTTAGTGTTCATTTCTAGCTGTTTTCATCTCTAATTACTTTAAGATTGAAATTATAATAAAAAATATATATAATATGCATCAAACGAGTAGTTCACTTAAAAAAAGGATTTTTCCAGGATTTTTCTCCATATAATGCACTTTACTGGGAAGTGAACCAAATGGTTCAAGGTCCAAATGAGTTTCACTGCAGCTTCAAAGGGCTTTAAACGACACCAGACGATGAATAAGGGTCTTGTCAAGTAAAACGATTGGTTATTTATTTATTTATTTTTTTTACAAAGTTTATAAGCTCAAATGCTCGCCTTGCTCTGTTCTGTGATGCACGTTCGTGACTCACCTGTTCAAACTCGTTCATCAAAATGAAAGAATCTGTACCCACAGAGAAATTTTGGTCAGATTTGTTAACTTTTATCCAATCTTATTTTATAAGTGACTTCTCTTTCTGTTTTAAAGATGTTTTCTTTGGTTTGTTTGACTACTCAAAAGAGAAAACAGGACAATATTATTAATTTGTGTTTCCTTCTAGATAAATTTCATATACATAAGCAAAAATTTACTGGTTCGAAACCTCTCTTTTCTTTATTCAAAGATGATTTAGACAGATACATGGAAACTATCCAAAGTTCTGTTAATCCCAAAGCAATGAAGACTGTATCTATATATTCATCCTTTATGTCCTCTTAAGGTGAATGCACCGCATTTTTGTTTTTATGTTACCCTGGCAACTTATTTGTGTATGTGTATTTTGCTGCAGTTTTTTTTTCTTTTATATATGTTTGTATGTATTGCTTTAATGTTTAATAAAAAAATATATATATATAAAAAAATGAAAGAATCTCTTTGAGTCATATGGTTCATTCAACGAACAAAATGAATGAGTTGACTCGGAAAAAGATCCATTCATTTTGATGAACATGATGAGTTCGAACAGGAGAGTCACGAACGTGCATCACTGTCCAGAGCAAGGCGAGCATTTGAGCTTATAAAACTTAAACTTTGTTATTTTTATTTTTTTAAATGAATGATCGTTTCGCTAGATAAGACACTTATTCATCGTCTGGTGTCGTTTAAAGCCCTTTGAAGCTGCACTGAAACTCTCTTTTGGACCTTAAACTGTTAGCCCATTATGGAGAAGAATCCTGGAATGTTTTCATCAAAAACCTTCATTTCTTTTCGACTGAAGAAAGAATAACATGGATATCTTGGATGACATGGGGGTGAGTAAATTTAATTTAAAAAAAACACACACACGTCAAGACTTCTGTTTTTCATTCCACAAGGGGGCAGTATAGCAAAGATTTTGATTTCAAAGATTCTGTTTTTATGAATTTCATATCCAAGATTAATCCTTCATTTTAAATGGAGCAACAACTAGTGCAAAATATTGGGATTCCAGCCTTTTTTCCCCCATAGAGACGTTGTTTTGACTTTGTGTGTATGAAGCGCCTGCAGACAGCAAGCTCTTGGTTAGTAATGGGGGTCTCTGGGACTGCAAAGGCGATGAGATAAGCCCTCTGAGCGCAGTGTAGAGTGATGTCATTGTCAAATGCTCTTATCTCCATTCAGATGAGATGCCTGTGCTCAGACAGCTGTGCATGCTTGATCACGTGAACTGGTGCATTTCATGTTTTCATGATGAATTCAACACTTCTTACAGGTCGACATCGGCTTTATCTGAGATTTGACCTTGCACACATCTCTTAGGAAATGCATGGATTAAACACAACAGATATTTCCTTTAAAATATGGATGCCTGGGTTGACTTTACTTTTCCCTCGTCGCCCAGGTTGCATGTTAACCAGTAGCTTAGATCTTGACTTAAGAGAGGTCAATGTGTAATGAAGGTTTAATTCGTATGGAAACAGCACTGCACTGCAAACAGCCCAAGGGCAGGCATTTTTGGGCAGGCCTCAACAGAGGAGTGCCGATGTTGCAATGGTACACTTAAAACCTTCGATTTCATGCTTAATGCAATGCTATAAATATTCCACTAGCAAAGGCCTGCTCTGTTTTTAAATGCAGATCAGCCAAGCAGCAGTGGGTGTAGAGCCGCATTACTGTCAGATACCACACGCTTTATCAAGATTGAAGAAGTTGGGGGGAATTAAGGTTGAGTGGGATACTTTTCCCCAGTCATCTCAATGGCAAAAAGTGTCCAGTTAACCTGAATTCCACCAATGTGATTTCCATGCAGTAAGAGCTACTGTCCTATATCTGAAGAATATTTCATAATCAGTATTTGAGAAAAGAGGTTGGATTTGGAATTTTGTTGTTTCATTATTTATCTAAAATGAATATATATATTTACATTTTGTTTCATTAATTTACTTTTTATTTAAATATGCATTGTAAAAATATGTTAAATAATATATATATATAGTTACATGATGATAAGTTACATGATAAGCTAATTTGATTTTATGATATTTTACTGAATATGCTCCACATTTCTTGTGTTCATACTCTTTATTGTAGGTGCAGTGAATCTCAAAACCTTTTACATTCAAACCATGAATTAATTATATAGATTATTTCCATGTTGTTGATCATGGGAGCTTTGAGACTCTTGCTCATATAAGTTATAACTCAGGTCGCAGTTTTAGTCATGAAGAATATGTGAGGAACAAATATCTTAATTTAAACCATTTTTACCCTTTACCATAAAAAAAAAGTTTACATTTCAGCAAAGTATCCATAATACCAGACAATTCGATCAATTTTAATTGATATAAAATCATCTGTCCCATAACTTGCAGGTTAAAAAGTGCACTAAAATATTCAAATGTAACAGGCAGAACTGAATATAGAAGGTCAACCAGTGAAGGAGACAGAGTGTGATAGAGTGAGGGAATGGAAAGAGAGAGATGAATGGTAAAGCTAATTAGCAGAGCCTCTGGCAGCCCTGGTGAGCAGATAAATGGTTTTTATCTGTAAGATCATCAGTGGCAGCAGGAGTCGCAGCCTTCAGGCGTCCCCTGCACTCTTCCACCCGTCTGTCCTCCAATATTGGTTTTGACTCACTCTGTGGCGACATATGAGTATTCTGATATTTCATCAAAAACATCCTTTTTGACTAAACAAAATGTGTGTGCGCGCATGTTTCTCTGCTTTTGTGTATAAATTGCCCGTTACCCATTCTTAGAAGAACATCACGCCTCGGGCGATTGCGTTTGCAATCAAGATGAAACTGAAATGCACTGGAAAAAAGGGAAAAGGCCCCTCAGTGGGGCTTTTATCATCCCAAAATCTCATGGCACTGCATCCATCTTTGGTGAGGCAGAGCGCTTCTACGCTCATCCATCCTGGGCATCCCGTGGGCTGCAGCTAAGGTGCTGACAGATTTATCTCCTAAGACAGATGTATTGTACACTCCCACACCCCTCCAGCTTCTTAACTTTTCCATGGCTCCTGGTGTACTTTCCTTTTCTCTGCATTCTGGTTAGCTAGGGCTGCCCTGGATACGGACTCGTGCGGGAATCTACTGGAGGGGGAGAGAACTGTTCTGAGGAAATGACACATTTTGCTTTAATGGAGTTAAATGGCTCTAGGGTCAATGGACTTGACATTAATGACATGAAAATACAACAGACGAGTCCTGGGATTATGTCTTTTTATAAGCCAAAACCGTGAAATGAGTTAGATTACATTGTCCTTAAGTCAATGGGTTTCTGGTTAAATGCCTGAAATAGGGTCTGTGGGGAACATTATTTTTGCAACACAAATATATCAGTAATCCTTTGTGTGATTTAAATGGCACTAGAGGTCATTGGAAACATTAAACTTCCTCAATCCAAGCAGGTAAACTCATCTGCTTTTACAGCCTCATTGTGTTTCAAATCACACTCTTGGAAACTATTCAAACTCAAACTTTCAGGAAAAATGTTTTTAAATAAAGACTGAAAAAGCTGTCTGAAGATGTGACTTAGAAGTTCACTTATAGCTTATACGTTTAGCTTTTTACTTCTTGCGATTGTAGTCACTTACACTGTAAAAATGAATACGCTTTATCTAATCAAAACAATTGTGGCAACAGATTACAAGGAATATTATTAATTATATTTAACAAATTAGAATTAAGTAATAATTAATCAAATTAATTCCTTAAAAAGTTAACCATTTAAAATGAGTGAAACTTACACAAAAAAAAAACAACGTAATTTTAAGTCACCATTATGGTGATCGGTGTTTGTTTTAGGTTTGTTTGTTTGTGTTGTCTCCGTTTCTTTTATGCAGAATAGCATCATTAGATTTTTTTTTTTTAGATCTATTTTACTGATTGTCTTCTGGATAAATTAACAAGTGATAATTGTAAACTTTTATCTTATTTTCTACAATAATTCAAAGGAAAGTCGAGGGAACAAGTGTGATGCAAACTTTTGGGTTGACTTACAAAGATATGTCATCACAGCTCTAATAATTCGAAGCATATTTTCATTTCTGAATTAAAATTCAAAAAAGTGTTTTGTACACTTTAAAAATGTATATGATCGATAAGTTATGAGACAATCCATATTTTTACATCACTTTAACTCATCAGAATAAGTTTTAAGCAAAATAAGCAATTTTCTATTATAAATTATATTCTCTTATGACCATTTTTAGTAGTAGTTTTTTCAAGTCAGTTTAATGTAATTTAAGTTGAAATAAAACATCTTGACAATTAAATAAAACTAGTTAATTGTACTTAAAAATTTAAGGCAGCAACTTTTTTTTACAGTGTATCATAAAGTAAAACATAAGGGTGATACAACTTTACTAATAGTAAAGAATAATAGGCTACTTTTCCCGCTTATTAACTGAAAAACTTTTTCAGCCAAATCATGGTCTAAAAAGCATAAAATGCAGGGAAAAAAAGGAAATGACATCACATCACACAGATGTATAGATGTAAAATATCAGATAATTTGACCTTTTTATGACCAGG